ATACATGTAACTATTTTAAATTATTAATAAAGATATAAGCAAGGCCTCACCTTAATACCAAAAAAAAAAAAAAAAATAATCTAACATAAGTCAACTAACAATTTTTATTTGGTGTCATAATAATTACTAACAAACAAACAATTGTGTGTTTACTAAATTTGGTACCACAATAATTGAAAATAGTAAATCAACCAACAATTGCACATTTTCTATATTTGGAATTAGATTGTTAGCAGATATTTTGGTTATACGAGGTATAGTAATAATTTTACACATTATATATCCTCCAAGCCCGATTTACAAATTTAGAATAAACACTATGCACTTCTTTATTTATGTTATTATAACAAAACATGTTGATCAAACATCTAGTATAATATTTTTTTACTGTTGATAGCCATTAAAAATAACCTTACAGCTATTGGTAATATTGATCCATGATAGAAAAAATAAGTATATATTATTTAATGGTCTCACAGATCCACTTTTATTTTGGCCTAGGTTGAAGCTAAAATAGCAATAAAAACTTGATCAGCTTTAATAATCAATGGCCTGCATTAAACATTATCTCTTCTGAAAAGAGAATGCTTTGCATCTAATTTTTCATAATCGATTTTTGATAATGAATATCTAGAAAGCCTTTTCTTATTATATATAATATTGTAATAAGAAAAAGTGCAAATGGAACTTAAAAGGACTATAATAGAGAAGAGTACAACTTTTTTTATCAGTAGTTTTATCAAAATTCATATGTTACTAGGATTTGGAATTTCTGCCATTCCCAGATCATCAACTTTTTTCACTTCATAGTAGTGATTGTCAAATCTAAGAGGATTTAATTTCATCTAAAAAACAATGAAATGAATTCAGTATTTGGAACTTATAGCCAAACAGGCTTGCTTTACATGGCTGAATCTGGTATTGTATTAGAGTAATGCAATTACTAATCATGTAACTTTTTTATTTCTGGCAGGTTCTCAGCTCTAATGAATGCTAAGTATAAAAATAAGTGATTTTTTGTTCCTTGTTGGGTGGGTTATAATATTTTTTGCTTATATATAATTTTTTTTATTTAATTTACTTGTAATTTATTTCTAACATATATATTTGTTTTATATGAAAGGTTTTAACCTATAATTGTTTTCTAGGATAACTACTAGGGCAAAACCTTATTCATTATAATTTTTTATTTTTAGAAACACAAAATAAGCAGTACTAATAATTCTAACAATCCAACACTGTCTAACTCAGCACCATCCAACCTAGCACTATCTAATTCAACACTGTCTAACCCAGCATTGTCCAACCTAATACTACCTAACTCAACATTATCTAACCTAGTAATGTCTAATCCAAGATCGTCTAATCGAAGACTCCAATACAGTAATAAAACTTGTAAATAAATTTTATATTGCATAATTAAGTTTGTATTTTTCTGGAACAGGTTTTGAGTATTTCTTTAAAATATAATTTTTTGATTAAATCTTTCATTATATTAAAATCAGACAATGACCCTTCTATTTTATTTCGAGAGAAGCTGTAAAAAGATATAAAAAAAATAATGACTGGGATGTTATAAATCCTAATTATGCCAATAACTATTTATAATTATGACCTATATATTATATTTTTTTATTATAAAATATTTTTTTTATATATATATTATCATTCTGGCAACAATTTTTTATGAAATAAAAAGAGGGTCCCGTGGGCTCACCATTTTTTATTTTAACATGATTTTTATAAAATAAGAAAAGAGTACTGATATAATGTACTAACAAATCGAATTAGAAAATCAACTCCTAATCAGGTGTTACTATAATTTTGGTAAAGTGTTTAAGAGATATGAATATTAGAAAAATAATCCAAAACATATAGTTCAGGTATTGGTAAATAAAGTTAAGGATCAAATTTCCAGTTTAATTAGTAAAACTTCATTGCAGAAAAGAAAAGAAAAAGCTTAAAAGGTTTATGAATTGTTCACTGAAATTTGAGTAGATAAGATACAAAAAGTTAAATATTTGATGATTTTGAAACTAATAGATAATATAAACTCAGTCTCATAATTATTGCTTTACTGCTGTATATGTCACATGATGTCATGACCTCGAGGTCACATTCTATGTAAACAAATTTTACTTATAATAATGCATATTTATTAATACAGTATAAATAATATATATATAGCACATAGGAGTTCAGATACATGATGGTTTAATGGGCAACCCCCAGAGTCTATAGATGCGATAGCATAATCTCAGATTAGAAAAAATACTTAGAAGTAGTAATAGTGCCATTTTTACTGTGTAATTATCTAACTATGACATGATCTCAAAGTTTTTGGTACTTTTTTATATGCAGTTTTATAAATATAATAAAATACACGATCAACTCATGTAATGCAAAATAAAGCTTAATCAACATTTATGCATTCATATTTCAGAAAATATGCTTTATTTGTAATGATGAAAAAAAATAAAATCTTATGATAAATCTTTGCAAGCTATTTTTTGATTTCAACTGAATCGAAATTGCTACAGATGTATTGTTTTTCTTAAAAGCAATTAAAATTTAGACCAACTATATAATAAAAATAATTTATTTATTCACTTAATATAATGAATTTACCTTAATTTACATTAAGAACTACTTGTTATATGTCATATAAGTCAATAACAAAATTTTCACCAACAACAGTATTGGGTACTACTGCAGTATAGTCTTCAACATTTGGAACTCCACTCAAGATTGGGGGATCTCAAAAGGCATCTCTAACAGAAATAGTTACTTGAAATTCATTATTATTTAGAGCATTACAACTGGTTGATATATGAGTATTATGATGTATAGTTCCACATTCCTACTATCATTTGCAAAAATTATCTTAATCCAGATATCTAATTACAAAAATACAGCAGTAAATTAATATTACCTCCTTGACATATATTCCATTTCCTGCTAAAACTGCATTTGAGGATAATATACCACCTGGTAGTGCTTGACGTATCCATAATCTTGCCTAATATAGAAAAAAAATCATAAAGTTGAAACTAATTGAATAATGAATAGATGTTAAACATATAGGACATACTATGATTGGCTGATGAACAATTCTTTTGATATTTATTTTAAGATAAATTTTAACTCCAAATACACAGTGAACATATTCCTTATGCATTCATGTTTTGCATTTTGTGTTCCATAAATCAATTTTTTGAGTATTAGCAACTTCATAAATTATTCTTGTATGGGAATTTCTCTGTAACTTTAATTAAAAATTGTCTTTAAAAATAAGTATTATGATAATGAAATATTAAAGTACTTTGAAGTCACTGCAAAGAAAATCAGGATATGGATTTGCTCATTGTACAAGATTCTCTCTTGGACAAACTGCAATGTCTGGAGCTATTTTTTCTCCAATTTTGATTAGATTGTAATGATCTATTGGAAAATTTTGTATTTTTATTACAAGCCCCAAAAAATAGAATTAAATAAAAATCTCTTACAAGATTGACCAGAAGTTATTATCGGTCCAAGCTTTACTCTATTATTTGGTTCTTTAAAACAATCTTGAAGATATGATATAACACATTCATATGGTGCGTACACCATTTTAATAATATAAATATTTTTTTTATCAAAGTGAAATTTATATCCTGACGATTCGTTACGATCAAGAAAATCGTTATACTCTTTAACTGAAATGTTTTTTCTGATCTGGAAGGGCAAGCTGAATACAATAGAAGTTAACAATGAATAGCTCTTAAAGAAACATGAATAAGTCATGCTTACCTTTCATCTGCTAAATGAAAATCTGGCAGTTTAGGGTGTCTGTGGGTCAAGTTATTCTGAATTTTGTTTACTTTGTTACTTATCTAATAAGCCATGCTTTACAAAATATAAAAAATAAACTTTGACATATAAATTTAATGATCTGAATTTTATATCTAATATGATAATCACACGTGATTACCTGTAAGACATTGCTTTATTATAGCAAAACTAGCAAAACTGCAAACTGTTTAAATGCAAAGAATCCTTATGTAAGAAGGATATTATAGGTTAAAGATTTTAAATGCTTGATTAACGAAATCCTTAATTTTTTGCATTCTTTTCGAAATAACCTTTTCTGAATTTTTATCATATCATACTTCAATAAGATAAATTCCATTAAGCTGACAAAGGCATCTTTTCTTCTGATCATGATCAACAATATCCTTAAATCTTTTGATATCCTTATACCAACTAGTGCTATGAAGCCGATGTTGACTTCCTTGCACCTCCAATGCGATTTGATATTTTTGAAAGAAGGCATCAAGTTCCATTCTGTTTAAGAAAGAAGGTCGATATTCAATTATTGGTTTTTTGTTAAGAATGTCCTTAGCTATTTGAATACATTTAGCTTGGAATTTGCGATTATTCTTGTCAAAAGCAGTTATGAGGGCAATAAGTGAATCTGTGTCTGGTTAATCATGTGACAACAGTCAAATGATCTTCTATGCATATAATTTGATGCAGTGTAACAATGATAATATATAATCGCATAGTATAATAAAATAGGTTAAAAGAGACCCTTAATATTATTAAAACTTTATCAATATGTAGTGACATGCAAAAATGAAATTTTAGATAGATTCTTATTAAAGGCTCAGAAAACCTAAAAATTCATTCATTTTTATATAGAAAAAAGAATTTCACAGCATATTAAACTATATAATTTCAACATTAAAAAAATAAAAATAAAATTTTTTCTAAGGACATCATATTTGACAATATTAAGCACAATTAAATTTCTAAAAATTTTATTATGAAAGATATAATTTTTAGAATATATTATTTGTTTAGTTGTTGAAAACTCTACATTACTTTATTAGAAGTTCTTTAAAACTTCATTATTTACTATCGCATGACTTATTTTAACCATTAGCCATATTTTTTGAAATAGCTTGGTTCAAGTTATACTGTTGCTTTTTTGATGTTTTTTCCATGTCAGCATAATGGAAAAATCTAGTTCTTGTATTTCAATGTTATTAATTTGTAAATTTTTTCTTAGTCTCTATTGAGACACTTTCTTGATGTCATGATTTAAATTTTTTTACAGCGTGAGGCAGCAGTAGCCTGAACTTATATCTTTTTTCTACAGCGTCAATAGTCCTTATCATTAATTCAACATATATTCCTATCACAAGTATGAAGAAAGGAAGTTACAGCTTGATGAACATAAGTATCTTGCATGTGCCTATGTCATTTATATAATTTGATAAACTTATAAACACCATTATTTAACTCGAGGTCATTTTGTTTTAAAAGATTTTCTAGATCGCTGCAAAACTAATGAAGTTTATTTATCACACTTTCACTATTATTTTCATTGTTGCCAGTATTATTATCACTTTTAGTACTATCACTACTATCAACTCTATTATTATCATCAATGGTATTTGAAGACTCTAGTAAAGTAAACATATTTTTGTCATCAGAATCATTAAATTCATCATCATGTATATTTTCAATTAGAAAATTTCTAATTTCTTGCTTCTTATCAACTACTTTATGTGCATATTCTTTTTTTTCAAATTGTTTCTAGTGAAGATCAGCATAAAAACTTAAAGATTAGTGCTTCTCACCTAATGCTAAGTAAGCATAATCGTATCGCTTTTCCATAGACATTGTGAGTAATTGGTTTAATCTACATATATTATAATGCTTAGCTATAAAAGCTTGATGCTTACATGGTGCACCCATTTGATTACATTTACATGTTCCAAGTTTCATATCCACGAGATACCATATGTTGGGATTTTTATTACTCCTGTTTTTATATACAAATGAATCCTGATCCACAATCTTAATTTTATCTTTTATCCCGATTAATCACCTAGTAAGCCAAAAATGAAGAGTAATGAAATTATCTAACTTGTTATGAGCCACTACCAACAATCTGCAAACATAATAAAGATCCATAGTGTTGATAATAAACTGGAAAATTTGAACTACATTGTATGCTTGTACCTGTTTAAAAATAATTTTCTTCATTACTTTAATTCCAGCCTCAGCGAAATTGTTGGTATGATTATTATGAATTAGAAGCTATTGGCAGAATGCAATAGCTCATTCATGATGATGTTTCCAAGAAATCTTAAAATGAGTTTGAAAAGTCAGATACTTTTGGTAAATACTACTCTTAATTAAGTCTAAATATGCTATATTAAGAGCAACTTCTGTTTTTGAAAAAACTATTTTTTTTACATGTTCAATTAGAACTGCACGATCATTATTGTGAATCTTATGTTTACTGTTTCAGAGCCACCTCCACATCACTTGTAAAAAATGAAAAATACAAAGAAGCAATATTACATTTATCCAAGTATTGTGAAGTGCCACTTTTTTTGCCCTACAATTAGAGATGATAAAAATCTGATTTAAGTATATAATCATCATCTGTTTTTAATTCATAATAAAAAATAGTTGCTGTTCCTACTTACAATCATCTGTCATGACCACTTGTGGTCCAATGAAACTATATTTTTCATTACATTTAATGCTTTTGTAAAAGTAATCACTGTTTCATCAGATATAAGAATTATGGCAAGTGGTAAACTACCAGCAGATGTACTGATAGAAAGGATCATAAAAGGAGTATTTAGAACATCAAGTTCAGCTGTTGTATCTATATATACTAATTTACCTGTTTCTTGTAACTCATAACAATGTTTCATAAGGTTTGTTATTACAACCAGGATAAAGGGTTGTTCTGAGTTATCTTGGCCTGATGAAATGTATTTTTGCATTCATGCATTTCCTTTTCTGTTAACATTAAATTCCATAACCTCTTTCTCTGATCAACTAAATATACTACTTCTATTTTGAGCACCTATGTGCTTTTTATGATATTTTTTATAGAGATATTTGACATCATTTTTGTGAGGAAATAATGCTCTGTCAGCTAAGATTTCTTCATCATTTTCATACTCCAATTGCATTTGTTTCCAATAAGTGTAATAAGTACTGTTAGAACTATGCCTCATATCAAAAAGCTTAATAATAGCATTTTTGGTTTCTTCTGATACTGAATGAAAGCTTGTGATATGACTTGATTAAAGAGGGTGATTATGATGAAAAATAAGTTAACAATACATAGATAAGGATTATCTCTTTTAAGTAGCTGAACTTTTAATGTCACTAGACAATTCGTATCCCTTATTTATGTATTCATAATGTCATTATTTAAGCTGTTTTCATAATTAACAATTATGGTTTTCTCTTGTTTTAGCTTTATAACATGATTGTAAATACAGTGAAACCATTTTGAGAAGATATAACGAATGCCCTTGATAGTACAACCTTTAGTTTCTCACATTGTCACTTTATGAAGGTTCATGAATTTCTGAAGCCACAAGTTAGTATCCTTAATCGTTTTAATATTTATGTGAAATTCACTTTTAAAAGGTTTTTCATAAGTGCCTAGAAATTCATGTTGTAAAATTTGTTCAATAGAGTTTACAAAATACTTGTAGTTTGAAAGTAATAAGTTTTTAATAATCGAATCATAAGTGTTCAAGGCTTCGATATTTAAAGTATTAGAATAAGATATATTATTTAAGATTAATTCTATGATGATTTTTTTAAATTTTTTTTAGTAATGTAACGGTAATTTTATTATGTCCAAGGATCAAGAAGGCATCACAGGAACAGACTATTCATTTGAACTAAGAAATAGAAGAGTTAGATTTCAAAAAAAAAAAAACTTCCTTATATATTAACAAGAACAATAATTATGTAAGTACAAGAAAGTTGTTAGAAGGAAGTTTAAACATAACAATGATATAAGGTTTTATGCATGTTTCAAAAACTTGCATATTATGAAATTTGAATCTTTATTAATATTTAACATTTATAGGAAGACTCTAATATGATTGGCCATCTACTTTATTTCATATTATTTATATAGCTTAGAGTACTTTTTATAAATAAAACTACAGTGATTAAATGAAAATAGCTATATAGAAGGTATTATTGGAGTTGTAGGACTTAAATATTGAAAATGAAAATTTCATTTTTGTTTTAAAAAGTTAGCATGTAATAATTTATTTTAAGAAGTTGTTATACTAACCTCTTTAAAATACAAATGGATTTTGATCATTTTCAATAATAGAGCCCTACAATCCCAATAAAACTATTTATTCTCTGTAGTACTTAAAACTGTACAAATAATGTAAAATTAAGTAGATTTAAAACAGTCAATCATATAAAAATTATCTTATAATATTTAGCATTCATCTTTTTTTATATATGTAAGCAATAATTATGTTTTTTTTTTAGAGTACCACCTAACTAAGATCTGATAAAATTCAAGATTTTACTACTATATTGAACTTTTATAAGCAGAAGTTCATTTAATTGGCTAATAAATTTATTTTATTTTACACTATTTATACAGTTAAGAGTACTTTTTAAAAAAGCAAAAACCAATCATAATAAAGTAAAAAAAACTATATAGAAGGTTTCATTAGAGCTGTCAAAAATAAGATCTAATTCTTGTTCATGTAATAAAAAAATTAGCTTAGAATAAGTTGATTTTATTAAGTTTTGAGAAGTCATTATTATACTAACTTTTTTAAACAGATGGGAATTTGGATCTTATTTTTGACTATGGAATCCTACAGTTCTGATGAAACCTTCCATGCAGTCTTTTTTATTTCATTATTATTAGTTTTTATTTTTTTTAAAAAGTACTCTAAACTGTATAAATAATGTAAAATTAAATTAAATTTATTAGCCAATCAGACAAACTTTTGCCTATGAATCAAACTTGATCTATTGTAATTGTAATTTTTAATCACTATGTGAACATTTCAGAAGCATACATATATATAATACCAAAGTATTAATAATATTGAATGTCAAAATGATCAAAACACTGATCGTAGTACTTTAGTAATATTAGTAATATTATAATTTGAGTCCAAGTTATATAGAGAAAAGTTAGATTTTCACTTGCAGATTTTATCGAGTATTAACAAATGGTAAGCAAAAGTCTGGGCATTATGAAATTTTAAGAGATTCAAATTATTTTAATACTTTTCTAATGTGTTATGATTTATTATATTTGAGAAATTATATATTACTATAACAATGTTTTTAGGAGTTCAGTTCCAGGCAAAGATCTATACTAATTCACAAATTCGTAAATATCATATACTATAAGAACTATTTTAAGTATCATTTACTTACTATTTTTCTTTTATCATTTTATAGGTACTTAATTCATTTTAAAATAGTTCAATATTAATTGTAATAGGACTTATCTATTTCTTGGTTAGTGCTGAAATAGTTTTGCTAACTGTTAGCTTAAACATATTAACAAAAACTTTTTTTACAGATCTTGACCCTAGGTATTTTTATAGGGGTTAAAGTTTTTTATTTATGTTTTAGTATCAATAATTTACAAACAGAAACTTTTGAAATAAAAGTCAAAATTTCTATTTAATATAAAAAGTAGGTAAGCTTTTAAGAAAAATATTTGTAATTACAGCATGTCGGAAATATAGTTTAGAGAAGTTATATTTAAGAAGAATTAATACGGCATATATAATTTGTAACTGGAAGATCATGCATTTGGAAAAAATTAAGAGATGCATTCAAGAGTCAATTGTAATTTATATTTTTGAACTTGTTAAAAAATTTTAATTTAATACAAGAAGAATTAATTGCAATATATTTTTTTTGCTTTGATAGTGATTAAAGATCATCAACCTGAACATTATTTAATGAAGATTAAGGTATTAGTAGTATGACCAGTGTTGCATAACTGGACTAATTTTGTTTTACTGAATTCATAAATTGAAACATTGAACTTATAGAACTCAAATCACTAGAATTATAAGGAGTGATCAACACTTTATATGATCACCTTTTATATATTCTTTGGTGGTTGTATTTAAAGTTAGTCTGTATGTTGATATATTAATTTTGAATCTATAAAAATAAAATTATATGGCAAATATTTAGCAACTTCATACTCTGAATCATATCAAAATGATTTATATAGCTTTATTAAATCTGTTATAAGGTTTATGCTATAGGAGCGAACCATATTTCCAAATTGAATTATATTGATACAATTTTTTTGTAGTAAAGACTAACTTCAAAATAGCATTAAGATTGAAAACCTATAATATATAATTATTATTAAAGACAGAATAGTCATTACAATAAGTTTGTAATCGTATCAATAACAGATTAATAGAAAGAGAAATTACATATAGGCTCGAAAAATAAAAGTAATTACATAAATATAATTTTCCCTTAATAAAATCTTAAAGTACTCACCATGGCATTTACTAATTCATGCCTCACTTTTCTGCAGTTTTGATTGGCTGTACTATGAACTACCCACCAAAAATTTTCGATATTAAAATTTCTAAAAGTTCATTTAGATTAGGGTTTGGGTCTATGCTAATGTTAGGATTAGAGAAACTCTAACAGTAAAATCGCTCAAGGAAAACTTTTTGTTAGAGTGCATTTTTGAGTTATAGATGTTTTTCGAGATCATGTTACATTACTTGTTGTTTACATAATACAGCCAATCAAAATTGCAGAAAAGTAAGGCAGAAATTAATAAATTTCTTGTCATGTAGTATTGCTTAATATATTATGTATTATCATTATTACACTACATTAAATCATATGCGTAGAAGATCATTTGACTGTTGTTACATGATTAACTAGACACAGATTCACTTATTGTGTTATAAGGTGGCTATATTCCGATTTCTTTGCAAATTCTTCTATAATTGGTCTTAATATTGCATTTCTTGTTTCAAGCTCAAGAATTGTCATCTTAATACACTCAAAGAGAATTGGATACCACAAACCAGTTTTTAATTTTACTATATTAACCTTATTTTTAGCTTATTTCTCTATAACTTGTTTTAAAAGTTTGGTATTCTTGACCTTAAGCTTTGCAGTCTCATTCTTAAGCTTTATATATTCTGCATTTTTAGCCTCAAAATTAGCTTTCTTAGCTATAAGTTTTGTATTCTTAGCCTTAAGCTTAGTTAGTATATATTCCTTAGCTTTCTCTTCTAATAAATCTAATTCAGATTGCATTTTTAGTAATAAAAGATGATTTATTTAATTTTTGAACTAGCATAATCTATATTACAATATTTTATAATATAACAAATTCTTAAAACACATGTGCAAAAGTAAATACGATTATGTATGCAAAATTTGGCCACTAGGACCAGCTTTATTAATATGATAAGAAAAGTAAAAAATATATACAATGGATTAAACAATGAAAAGAAAAAAATATATATACAATGGATTAAACAAATTTATAGTAAGAGGGAGAAGGTATAAGGTTTATTATATAACTTATCAATAACTGTATTGATTAAATATTTGGGCAATCAGTCTACATCAGTCACAATGATGGAATATTTAAGTAGTTGTTCCAATAGTTCCAATAGTTCTGGTGGTTCTGCTATCTCTAGTACCGCATCTATTGCATCAAAAGTAAAGCTATCCATAAAGAGGCTCACTATTATACCAATAGTTCCTTTTGGTTGCTTGGTTCGAGTAAGCATACCAAGCAATTCATCTACAACTGGGCAACCTGTGAATATATTTAATTTCATTAATTGAATTTTAACCAAAACATCTGATTTAATATAATAATACCTATATTAAATCTAACCCAATTTTTACATTAGATAATAAATCATATCATAGCAATTTCATATATAATATCGATGCTACTGTTGCTTGATCTTCTAAATTAAAATAAAATATGAATACTTGTGTTATAATCATCAACCAACCAAAGAAGTTGCACAGGTAAAATAGTCAATGATAGTGCTTTCTATTGTAATATTATAGATATTTTTAAATATTATTTTATATTATTTTATTGATATTATATTAGTTTTATATTATATT